CATGTGACCTGTCGTTGTGGTGAAAGCGGTCTTCCCAGTTGAGCCCGCCCCAGTTCTCGAGCGCACGGTTGATGAAGGGCACGGCGACGGCCGCATGTAGCGCCCAGAGACACGCGCGGAGCGCGCCGCTGCAGAACACGCGCGGAGCGCGCCGCTGCACAGGCGCGGAGCGCCGCCACTTGAGATTGGGCCTGTGGGTGGGCCGAGTGGTTCCTAGCGTGTGAGTCAGCTCTTAATAGAAATCGCACCTAGCCCTCCTCAACCCTCAAAATTTTATTCGGGGCGCGCTCCGCGCGCGGCGCTCCGCGCCTGACTCCTTGAGCGGCGTAGGCGCTGGCTCGCGCATGTTCTGCAGCTTGGTCTGCGGCCCCCGGTTGGGACGAGTGCGCGATGCGGACGAACCGCTCGATATGGCCGGTAGTATCACCTCGAGACCTCGAGACCGCAGACTGAGTGCTCTCATCACGCCTCACGCCCAAGCATCCCTCAGGTCCTGCCCCTTGCCGCCACACGCACACGAGAAGCCGGGTGCCGCGGAGCCGTTGGCTGCCGCCTCACCTCCCCATCGAACGTCGCAGCACGCTCTCGCGCCAGGCTGGCCCGATGCCGCGCCTCTGATTGCAGCGCATCTCGCCTGCAGCCCTCTGATTGCAGCGCATCTCGCCCTCCATCTTGCACCCAGCGCCGGTAACCGCCCTCCTCCTCGTTCGCAGAAATGGCCAAGCTCTCCTCGCTTCTCCTCCTCGTCGTCGCTGTGTCTGCGCAGGCCCTCATGCCAACCACACGCGCAGGCGGCACCGCCGCGGCGTCGCCCGTCGCCGCGTCGCCACGGCCGCGCACAACGCCGGTCGTTCTGGCGTCGAACCCAATCATGGAGTTCTTTGAGAGCCTGGTGCAGAAGTCCTCCACGCTGGGCAAGGACATCACGCTCGCCGAGGCGAAAGAGCTTTGCCGCGACCCAGAGTCGTCCGGCTGCAGGCGCGCCGCCGCACCGTCCCGCACCCACACACCGCAGTCCGGCGGCCTCCCACCCACACTCGCGTCCGGCCCGCCCGCAGCATCGACATGCTCGACATGATCGAGAGCGAGAAGGCGACGTATGGAGCCACCGCCGCCGAGGCTGCCGCCGAGAGGCCCTTGACGCGTCGGCGACACGTCCGAGACCCACCCTCGACGCTGTCCCTTAGGCCGCCGTCAAGTGGTCCGCCGCCATCGACGATGCCGTCGTCAAGACGGAGTGAGAAACAGGGCACCGCGGGGAGGGGGAGGCGCGTGCTGTTCGCCGCCACAAGGCGCCCATCCGATCCGCTCCCCCACCTGTTGCCCGGCAGCAGTGCGCGGCAGAATACGCCCGCATTGCACACAGCACGCACGCAGTCTCCCTGACAGTCGGCTGTCCGCAACACGAGCCGCATCGTCCTTTCGCGCATGTGTCCATGTACATGTCTGTGTTAGTGTTATCGGGGGCGACCCTCGCATCTCCACGCCCGGGACACGGGCAGGCTTAGGGTACCCCTAGGCTTACGGGGTGTGGAGGGTGAGTTCAACAAGGGGTTGTGCGCCGGGCCCTCCTGCTCGGCTCCAGCCGGTAGACAAGTCTTGTCATCAACAGAGTAGATGGATCTGACCTCGGGGCCGATGTGACCAAGCGCTGGTAGCGTGGTTTTACCTCACACCCATGGTCTCACAGTGTGCCGGCAGTCGCCGAGCAGTGTCGCTCACACAAGCCGCAGCACAAGTGACTGAGGGCCAGTGAGGGCGAGCCCATCGCTGTCACAGCTGTGGCAGCCGCACAGTAGGCTGTGTCAGCTGTGCAGAGTGTGTGAGCAGCAGAGGAGCTGCTCTCCAGGCTTCTGTCGCAAAGAGCTGCATGCCACCGAAAGCGCTGTCGTCTGTCGAGGTTCGCCGAGCGCGGCGAAATCGGGGGACGCCGTCACCGACGAGCGCGTTGTGGTATTCACTCCGGACAAAGACGGGCACACAGCGGACGGTGCGGGGCGTGTGCCCGTCATAGCGGCGAGGCGCGGGACCGTCTGTGGCGAGGTGGGTCGCGTCCCCCGATTTTGTTCAACCCAGCATCCACACATCTCTACAGCTCTACAGCGCTCTACACTCTACATCCTCTACACCCTCCCTCAGTCTAGACCCTTTCGCCTTTAAGGAGGCTGCCCTCGCTCGTCTCAGGAATGTGGCGGTGTCTTTTGAGTCCGGCGCCTCCCGTTCAACTCTTGCTGTCGCCCTCGCTGTGTGTTTGTCGAGCTTCCGCATGAAGTGACGCGCCTCTTCCTTATTTCCAGCGCAGCTGCCGCTCAGTATGTGCGCCAACGACGCCTGTGGTGGCTCACTGTCTTCTTGTTTCCAGTCGTCCCAGTCTTTCAGCTCCCCGCGTCTCCTCCTCGCCTCGAAATCGCCTAGCTCGCGCGCGTACAAAAAAATTCTTTTTGTCGATGTCCACCCCGCCGCGCCGCCGCTCGCGCCGCCTCGCCGCCCCCGCGGCCACCGCCGTGCCCTCGCCAATCACGCCGCCGCCCACCCGCCTCCTCGACCTCCCCACGGAGCTCCTCGAGCGCGCCCTCTCTCGCTGCGAAAGCCCCGTCGACATCGCTCGCGTCGCGGCCGTCTCGCTGCTCTTCCACGCCTCGCTTGTGGTGCAGGCCATCCGCTTGTGGGCGCAAGAGCGCGGCTTCGAGCTGCCGGCGCAGCCAGAGGACGAGGGCTGCGCCGTGCGGTGGCTGTGCTTCGCTGCGCTGCTGTGCGAGTCCAACCCGCCGGCGAGGGCGGCGGCAGGCCTGTCTCACAGCGTCTTCATCGACGGCGAGGGGCGCCTCTCGTCGTGCGGGTCAGCGGCAATGGAGGGCGAGGAGGAGGAGGAGCAGGAGCAGGAGCAGGAGCAGGAGGAGGAGGAATTTCCAGGCCTTCTCGGCCACGGCGAGGGCGTGACGCGGCTCAACACGCCGACCCGCCTCCCGTCGACGCTGGGCGGCGAGCGCGCCGTGAGTGTTTCGGCTGCAACCGGCTACAGCCTCGTGCTGACCGCCGGGGGCAGTGTCTGGAGCTGGGGCGATGGAGACTCAGCCCGGTTGGGCCACGGCGACGAGCAGCCCCAGTGGCAGCCCAAGAAGATCGAGGCTTTTGCTGGTCAGCGCGTCGTCTCTGTGTCTGCAGGAGGCGCCCAGAGCCTCGCCCTCACCGCCGACGGCGCCGTCTTTTCGTGGGGCAACGGAGCTGTCTGGAGCTGGGGCGAAGGAACCTTTCGCCGGTTGGGCCACGGCAACCGGGAGGAGCAGCTGCTGCCCAAGCAGGTCGAGGCCTTGGCTGGGCGGCACGTCGTCGCTCTGTCGGCTGGAGGGGCGCACATCATCGCCATCACTGCTGACGGCGCTCTCTGGAGCTGGGGCCTTGGCGAAGATGGCCAGTTGGGCCACGGCGACCAGCAGAGCCAGCTGCTGCCCAAGAAGATCGAGGCGTTGGCTGGGCGGCGCGTCATCGCTGTCTCGGCTGGAGATGGCCACAACATCGCCCTCACCGCCGACGGCGCTATCTGGAGCTGGGGCTTTGGATGGCATGGCCAGCTGGGCCACGGCGACCTGCAGCACCTGCTGCTGCCCATGAAGATCGAGGTGTTTGCGGGGCGGCGCGTCGTCGCTGTGTCGGCTGGACTATTCCACAGCCTCGCCCTCACCGCCGACGGAGGTGTCTGGAGCTGGGGCTATGGAGGGCAAGGCCGGCTGGGCCACGGCGACGGGCAGATGCAACTGCTGCCGAAGAAGGTCGAGGCCTTGGCTGGCCAGCGCGTCGTCGCTTTGTCGGCTGGACACAGCCACAGCCTCGCAATCACTGCCGACGGCGCCGTCTTTACCTGCGGCACGGGTGAACGCGGCTGCCTAGGCCACGGAGAGGACGTGTCGAACCAGCTGCTGCCCAAGAAGGTCGAGGCGTGGCCGCCTAGCACGCCCGCATCCGCTTGACTACAAATGGGCGGTTCGCGGTTCGGCCGGCTAAACGCTTCTCCACACACGGACCGCGGCGTGTAAAGGGAAATGCGGTCCGCAGGTGTTATGATGCGAGATGGCTACACAACGAACGATAAACCTAATACGCGCGCGGCCACAACCCGCACACTCCCCACCTCCAGCTCCTCCACCGTTTTCCCTCCCCGCAGCCGCACACGGTCACCCTCTCCCCACGAGTTTCGCCGCGCGACGTGCATTATGCTCGCGGTGATGGTCCTGCTCCCAGCTGCACCGTCGTGTGACGACTCCGCCGCCGCCGCGCCCGCCTCGCCGTCGGCGTCGGCGCTGGCCAACGCGCTGCCCGCCTCGCTGACGAGCGACAAGTAGCCGTATCGCCCCACCGCGTCGCACCGCTCGTCCGACGCGGCGATGAGCCGCTCGTGGAGGCCCAGTGCGCGATGTATGCGGAAAACCTGGTTTGTGGAGCTCCCGCAACTGTCCTGACAGTCCTGACAGAGTCCTGACAGAGTCCTGACAGAGTCCTGACATAGTCCTGACAGAGTCCTGACAGAGTCCTGACAGAGTCCTGGCGGGGTCCTGACGGCGCACGGTCTTCACAGTGCTCACAAGTGCCTCCGAAGAGACTTCCACCTTCCTTCACTGCAACCCTCCTTCCCCTCCCCCCCAGCAGTGAATGATAGACGCCCAAGTAAACACGGGTCTCCGAGGGTTAGCTCCGTGTACCGGGTTTCCCCTTAACTTCAGAACGCCCCCTCTACTCGGAGCTAATAGACACAGGAGCTGAAGAATACTCTCCGAGGGTTGGACCCGCGTACCAGGTTTCCCCTTAACTGCAAGGACGCCCCCTCTACTCGGAGCTAGTGATACGGGAATACGTGTTGGGGGCACTTGGAGGAACATATCTTTTTTTTGAGCTAGACTTCGATGTTAATAAAACAAGCGAAGGCACACACAACATGACGCCAAACACACGATTGCACGCACCGAGGGAGAAGCGAACGAAAACACGTATGGGAACCTCAGTCGTTTTTTTTTGGACCTTGAATTGGGCGGGCAGCGTCTCAAGATGCACGTCGTTCTCTTGCTCGCGACGCAAGTGGCCGCGCAGGCACCAGCCTCTGCGCCCGCCGCGCCGCCGGTGGCAGCGCAGGCGCCGGCCCCGTCTGCGCCCGCCGCGGCCCCGGCTGCAGCTCCCAAGGCCAAACGGACGCAGCCACTGTCGCCACGGCTCGCCCCCACGCCCGCTGCGTCAGCAGTGCCCCCGCCCCCATTTCGCGCATCGAAGGCCGCGGCCGGGCCAAAGGACGTGGCCCACGGGCACGAGACATCGCGGGACCAGCAGGCGGTCGACAACCTCAATCCGCCCGGCACCAGCCGCATGGAGCACCGCGCGCACATCTCCCAGGACCTGACGACGGAGGCGCCCAAGGACTGGAGGTGCACAGAGGCAGCAGGTGCGAGCGATAGCGGAGATCATGTCGCCGAGAGTTAGGGCGGAGCGATGCACACTGTGGTAGTAACAGTATAAGTAGTAGGCGGCCCTGAATCAAAACTCTCGAATGCATTGGGCCCCGCAGGGGTCGACTACTGCGCCGACCACGCGGCGCTGTGCGACTCGCTCTTCTGCCCCAGCTGCCTCCTCCCTGGCGCGTGCGACTACACCTGCGGCCAGTGCCTCGGGACGGCGCCGGCGGAGCGGCGGAGCCCCTGCTCGCAGACGCTGGCGTCGGCGACGGCGGTCGGGTTTGGCCACGCCGGCAGCTGCAAGGCGTCGCGCTGCAAGGCGCCGCGTCACGGTGCACCCGGTGGGCACTCGGAGGCGTTCCACGGCTCGAGCACTTCGCGCCATTAGTCGATGAGTCGATGAGTCGATCAATCAATTGATGCAGGTGTGCCACGGCTCGAGCACGCCCCTACCTCTCGCGCCATGAATTGATTAGAATGAGTCAGTCAATTCATTGACGAAGGTGTGCCACGACTCGAGCACCTGCCTCGCGCCATTAGTTAATCAGTTATGACTCAATTCATTCATTGATGAAGGTGTGCCACGACTCGAGCACCTACCTCGCGCCAGAGCCAGAGGCCGCTTGCGCCGTCGAGGACTGCCAGGCATGATGTGCGGTCGCTTGGGCGTGGGAAGGGGCCCGATCGTGGAGTTACGGCTGCCGTACTTCCACTGGCAGGCGATGTGCATCGCAAAGCACGCCGGCGGCGAGGCTGTGCACCCGGTGACGGGGAAGGTGGTGGCGGCGAGCAAGCGTAGAGGCGGAACTCACGTATTCGATTCGACCGGCTGTCCGGCTGTCTTCCCACCGCGCCGTCTCGTATTCTCGCCGCCTCGCCGTCTGAGCAGCACACCACACCGGTCGCCGCACAACACGGCATTCTCCCGGCGTCGGTGTGACTCGGCCAGGGGGGTGGGAAAGCGATGTAGGACCTTCCTTAGGTCCGCCTCTCACACCCTCACTGTCTGTGTCCGCGATGTCAGCCTCTACTTTCTCATGCACATGCACATGCACATGCACATGCACATGCACATGCATACATGCACGTATGTGGCCTCTCGCGCACGTAGGCAAGCCTGCCCGCCTGCTCGCACTACTCGTACAGCGCGGAGACCCGCCGCTGCTTCCTCTTCTCCACCTGCCTCGAGATCGAGGAGGACGGCCGACCAACGTCCGTCCACAGCAGTAACAAGGAGATGAGCCGTTGGTAACTCGTGTATCAGGTGGTGGCGACGCGGCACATCCGTCCACAGTTTGGGCAAGGGACCCGTCTCATTGTGGCACTGGAGTCACTCTTTAGGGGGGCGGCGAGGCGGCGTCCTTCGACACGTTTGCCATCGGGCCGCCGCCGCCGCCTCCGCCTCCGGTCGATTGGGAGGATGCGCCGGCGGAGACGGTGAGCGCGGTGGCGCAGCAGGCGGCGCAGGCGGCGGTGGAGAAGGTTGGGGTGCTGTGGAGGTGCCGACGCGCCACTTCTCGCATGGGATGAGTGATGTGGAGATGACAGCAATTGGGGACGAGGCTGATAAGTCACGCGTTGCTGTACCCTACCCCTAACTCTAACCTGACCCTACCCCTACCCCTAGCCCTAGCCCTAACCCTAACCCTAACCCTAACCCTTACCCTAACCCTTACCCTAATGTGCTGTGTGGAGGTCGGCGCGCCACTTCTTCCGCATCAGCGAGGAGTCGATGAATGTGCATTGGGAGGACTCGTTCGGCGAGAGAGAGAGAGAGAGAGAGAGAGAGAGAGAGAGAGAGAGAGAGAGAGAGAGAGAGAGAGCCGAGATGCAGCCGAGATGCAGCCGAGGTACAGCCGAGATAGAGCCTCTGCTCGAGAGTCGTACAGGCGACATCGCCGACGGCCACCTCAACGCGCCGCCGGGGCTCGCCCTCCTCTTTGCCCTCTTCTTCTTCGGCGTGCTCCCCACCGCTATCTCCCCATATCTCCCCAGATCTCCCCAGATCTCCCCATATCTCATCACCGTAGGCGTGCTCCCCACCGCTCTCTTCCTCGTCGCCTGCAAGCGCTGCGACCGTAGAGGCTGAAGACGCACTCTTGTCTCCCAAACAGCGCTCGAGAGGACCTTAGAGGCTGAAGACGCACTCTTGTCTCCCAAACAGCGCTCGAGAGGACCGTAGAGGCTGAAGACGCACTCTTGTCTCCCAACCAGCGCTCGAGAGGACCTTAGAGGCTGAAGACGCATTCATGTCTCCCAACCAGCGCTCGAGAGGACCTTAGAGGCTGAAGACGCATTCATGTCTCCCAACCAGCGCTCGAGAGGACACGCACTCCGCCGCAGTCA